CGAAGAGTACATCAATGGATACAGCGATGTCATCCTTCGTGCTTTCAAGTGTAATCACGATATTCAAATCATGATCGGGGGCGCTGAAATGGCTGAGCGCATGTACTACGCCTGCAAGTACACCACCAAGGACCAACAGACGGTTGAATGTCGAACGGCCCTGGCATTGGCTGCTTTTGACACGCGTATTCAGCGAGAACCTCAACAGCTGAAAGTGGAGAGGCCCTGTCCGATGAAGCCAAGTGCCGTCGTCGCTTGGCGTCTCACATGTTCAACAGATGAAGCCAAGTGCCGTCGTCGCTTGGCGTCTCACATGTTCAACATGACGAGAAAATAAGAAGTTGCTGGCCCGTTGTGTGCCTTATACCTGTTGCGCGAGTCTTGCGCTTACACAAGCCACTTTTACAAGAAAATGTCCATTCGCCACGTGTTGAAGTTCTTGCACCAACACAGCGAAACTCCATTTCAACTTGAAGTGACCACCAACACCAAGGACAACACGCGTTCACAACTGGGGGAATGTGGTGCTTTTCACATCGAATCCTCCAACGATGGGCCGGAAAGTGACTCCTCAGACCTCGAAAGTGACGACGAAGAAGGTGCTTCACCACTTGCTGGACCAAGTCGCCCTGAGAAATCAACCGTATTCGTACCGGTTGGTCCAGCAGAAGATTACATAAACAGACCTGATGTCATGTGCAAGGACATCTCATGGTTTGAGTTCACGTCCAAGTTCTTCCGCGCGAATAGAGCAGACGGTACATCGTCCGATAAACTCTTCATGGAACGACATTCCCTGCACAAGTCGAAGTGCATTGGGGTACATCGCTTGGCGCGTATTCCCGTTCTAACTGGTGGTGTGCGCGTGCCATTCTTTGGGGATTGTTTGAAACCCGAGGAGAGAGATTTCCACGCCCAAGTTGCATTGGTACTTTTCAAACCATTTCGTGTGTTGTCGGATTTGCGCCCACACGGCTCAACATGGCATGAAGCGTGGGAAGCCTTTCAACCCACGATGAGCACTGGTTCTGCGGAAGTGTACCATTACATGCAAGACTACCATGTCGGCCGAAAGAAGGCCGCAATGACAAGAACGTCCAGGGAGGAAGAACAGAACATCCAAATGGAAAACGACGATGGTCGCACTGAGCCTGATGACTTCGACGACATTGACTTTGAAAACGCACTCCTGGTTGCCAGCAGACATCCAGCAACCAGGCACTTGAACTGTGATGATGCATGCGATACCACATCGGAATTGTATCAAGCAGTATCATCGTCGGAGATGAACAACCAAGTCAAGTATCCAACAACGACGCCAATTGATGCGGATATGGCAACATTGGTTGGTGGTCAGTCCCTCGACGAAGCGTCAACAACAGCATCCTCAAGTTACATGTCCATTTTGGGTGCTTGGGACCAGCGACTTCGTTGCCGTGAGCAGTTTGCGTAGATGTCAAAGGTCTAAAGACATGGATGCCGAAAAAACGCGTGGAACGAGTGTCACGTTCGAAAACCAATCCCGTGTTGAAGAAAGCAGCGAGGCATCGGTGGCTTGGTGTACACATCCGCCTGGCGAGATTCCAACGCTGGTCCAAGTCAACGTGCCGGGTGCATTAGATCCATCAACGATGTTGTACACTGGCAACCTGGTTGAGAGGGGCAAAGTACCTCAAGCTTTGCCCGATTACGCCCACATCGGTGTTGTTTCGAGTGCTTTTGGCCTTCGTATGCGCCAACACTTGAGCTTCACATGTATTGCACGTGCTCTATTGCAGCGATGGCAACTTGAAGATAATGGAGATCACGACCCACGAAGTGTCGCCACTGCAACGAGCGCCATACAACTACGAATGGTTCTGCACGGTGAAGGGGGTACTGGAAAGTCGCATGTCATCGCTGCTGTGCAAGCGTTTTGTAACTCGTGGAAGAGACCATTCAGCATTGCCAAAACCGCAATGACTGGCAAGGCCGCCGTCTCAATCAACGGAGTTACGTTGCATAGCTGGATTGGTATGCACAACTTGACCCCAAGCACTGTTCACGAGGCGAAAGAAGCCGACGAGAAAGGCGTACCTAGCTACACGGAAGATCTCAAGCTACTCCTGGTGGACGAAATGTCCATGATGAACAAACAACAGTTGGTTCGACTCGACAAGGCACTTCGTGCACGGACGAAGCTGGACTTGCCCTTCGGTGGAATCAACATCGTTTTGGCTGGTGATTTCTTCCAAATGCCCCCTGTTGGTGGAAATCCGTTGTATACACCACTGTCTGCGTATCGAGGGGACTTGAAGTTCGATCTCTACGAAGTCCCGGGCTTC